GGGGATGTCCTCTTTAATCTCCTTTTTCAAAGTACTGTAATTTTCATTTTAGTGGTCTTTCATTTCCTTGGTTAGGTTATTTCCTAAGTATTTCATTTTTTGTTGCTATTTTGAAAGGTATTGTTCCCTTAATTTCTTTCTTGGAGAGTTTATTATTGGTGTGCAGGAATGCTATTGACTTTTGAGTGTTGACTTTGTATCCTGCTATGTTAACGAATTTGGTGATTAATTCTAGGAGTCTTTTGGTGGCGTTCTGGGGGTCTTTTATGTAGAGGATCATGTCATCTGCAAATAGTGATAATTTAAGTTCTTTCTTTCCTACTCATATCCTTTTTATTTCTTTCTCTTGTCTAATTTCTTTCTCTTGTCTATTTCTTTCTCTGGCTAATATTTTAAGAATTATATTTGTGGGAAACTAAGTGTAAAGACTGAGGCCTGGGTTGGCCTCTTTTTGGGACACAAGGGAGGACATAGGAAGCTACTCCTCCTTCAGGCTATGTGCTGACAAGCTGGTGCCAGCCAGTTCCAGGGAGAAAGTCAACTACAGCTGAAGTAATAATAATAGTTCACTTCTATTGGTTGCATACTATGTGCTAACCACTATTCTAAGCACTTCATATATATTAACTTCTATAATTCTAAGTAATCTATGGAATAAGCACCAATAATCACATCTATTTTACAGATAAAAATTGAGGTACAGAGATAGTAGGCAAGTTGCCCCAGTCACACTGTGTGTGTATATAAATAAGATTTTTTTGGTACCAGGGTTTGAACTCGGGACCTTGTGTTTGTGAGGCAGGTGGTGGAACCACTGATCTAAATCCCTGCCCCTATAAATAAACTTTATATTTTAGAATAGTCTTGGATACAGAGCCTAGTTGAGTGGAAAGTATAGAGAGTTCCCATATGCCTCCTGGCTCCATATATATACAGCTTTTCCCACTACAAAATCCCATACCAGAGTGGTACATTTGTTACAATCAATGAACCTACTCTGACACATCATTATTACCCAAAGTTGATGGGTTCACTTTTGATACTGTACATTCTCTTTTTGGGAAAATTTATAATAGCACATATCCACCATTATAGTAACATACAGAACAGTTTCACTACCTGTATCAGACAGTATTTACTAGAGAAACTGATAGGACACAAGATATAAATTAGCTTATAATAGCTACCCACAGGGTCAGATGAGGAGGAGTCCAGAGGGTCTCTCCACACGCTGGAGACTGAAGGATTCAGTCAAAGTTCTGGAGCCCACTGCAGTGTCCTATGGGGGTCTGCATCAGGTGGCCAATGGGTCTGTGCTGGAAGGCAAAGACTGGAGCTCCTCCAAAGGAACAGAAGAGACCATGACCTTCCTCATTTCCCCTTTATAACAAACAGTCAGGTGAGGAGCAGCCATAGGTAAATCTCCTACGCCCTAAAGTGTGGAATTGCTGAGCCGATTTGGCTAAGCTTCTCTTAGCCAAACTTCTCAAGTTGACACAATTGCTCAACCATCACACTACCCTAAAAATCCTCTGTGCTTTACTTATTGCTTCCTTCTCACTAACCCCTGGTGACCACTGATATTTTTACTATTTCCAAAATTTTGCCTTTGTCAGCATATTATTCAGTTGGAACCATACAATATGTAGCTTGTTCAGATTGACTTCTTTTACCCAGTAATACACATTTATTCCCTCTATGTTTTTTCATAGCTTGATAGATCACTTTTTAGTGCTAAATAATATTCCATGTTCTAGATGTATCAGTTTACCCATTCACCTATGAAATCATCTTGGTTACTTCCATGTTTTAGCAGTTATGATTAAGACAGTTATAAATGTTTCTGTGCAGCTTTTCATGTAGATACACATTTTCATCTAATTTGGGTAAATACTAAGGAGTGCAATTGCTTGAGTATTTAGTAAGAGGATGTTTACTTTTATAAAAAGCTGCCGAATTATGTTCCAAAATGGTTGTTCCTTTTTGTGTTTTTACTAGCAATGAATGAGAATTCCTGTTGTTCCACATCCTCTCTAGAATTTGGTGTTATGTTTGGATTTTGGTTGATGTAATAGATATTTATTGTCTTTGAGTGATGAAGCCCCACTCAAAGTTTATTTACTATTGCTGGTAATAAATGAAACTAATTAATGTGACTAGAGGTTGAAAGTATATGAGCAACAGGGAGAGGCAATGCAAGAATAGCCATTTCTTCAATTAGAGAAGGGCTGCCAAACCCCCTCCCCCCTCCCCCAAGGATCGAACGCAGGACCTTTCACTTTTGAGGCAGGTGCTGTGCCGCTAAGCTAAATTCCCCGCCCCTTACCAACACCTTTTAGCTGACTTTACAATTCAGCAAGTTAGAACAGTCACTACAGGAATTGTACTTTGCATGCTCAAGTTTTTTTTTTTTAACAATATCCACCAGTGTGTATTTTTGTACATATACATGATTATATACAAAGGTCTAGCATGACAAACAAACCAAAAAAAAAAAAAAAGTTAAAAACCCCCAAATACAAATAAAAATAAAACTCCTCACGCGCGTTGTTCTCGAAACGGAATACTAGATTTCTCGCTAGTGTAAATGGATGAGTGGTAATATTCATAGAATGAACTTGGGAGAGGGGCCATTATCTGAGTTTTAAATGTGCTTTTAATTGATTTTAACAGAAATATTAAGAAACTATGTGGAAGCAAAAGCTAATATAAAAATGATGACTGATGGCATGGATGGTAAATTTTAGGGTGACAATACAGAGCAAAAGTGTCTTTAACCAGATCTTGAGAAAATTCAACAATTTTTAGGGTACACTTTCTCTTTCGCTACTTCTTGTATATCCTTTTCATTTTTTACTTTAAAAAAAAGAACTTTTGGAAAAAGGAAGGGAAAGGGAGGGAGGAGAGGGAAATTAATGAAAAAAAAGAATTAAGATGTGCTATGTACATGTACCAACTCAACACAATAAATGTAATCATTATAGTAAGTCCCTGACTTACAAACAAGTTCCATTCTTGGAGAACATTCATAAGTCAGAATCGTTCATAAGTTCCACAAAGTGTGGTGTTATACATCTTTAACACAAATACATAATAAGTATTTCTTTGTGTTTCCTAGTAGTTCCCTGCACATCACCACTGCTTTTCCTCTTGCTTCCAGATGTCCTGGGCATCTAAGCCCTGACTGAGCACTGTACACTATTGCACCATAAGCACACAGCAGCACAGCTATGACAATATCTGGCAGACACTGCTGCGATCTGTTTGCATATACTAAAGTTTGCAATGGGAGGTCTGAAAATGTGAAAGTTTGCAACTCAAATGTTCATAAATCAGGGACTTACTGTACATATGTACTGCAAACATGTATTAATAAAAAATAAAGTAAAAAACCTAAAATTGTGTTAATTTTTGTTCTCAGAGTTGAGCTTCTTTTCCTCAAAAAACTTCTGGTTTTCTATTACACTGGTTACCTCTGTTCATGAACTTAATTCATTCCAAGATTCTGGGGAAGATGGCTGCAATCACATTAGTCACCTGCGGAGTTCATGAATGAAAGCAAAATTTTGCCAATCCCAAAGTGAATTGTTCACGAACAGAAGCACTTGTGCACCGAGGCATTACTGGATATCTATAATCTCACATTCTCCTCTACTTCCAGGGAGAAGAAGTATATTCTCTTTGAGGTGAATTGTACTTCAAAATTAGGTCTTTCATTCTTTTGGGCTAATATAGTTCAGCAAATTATCTTTGACTCGAACTTAATTGCTTAGGTTTTATTCCATTAGTTGAAATAAAACAAATCAGTAAGTTAATCTTCAAGGTGAGCAAACTAGTAGAACACTTAACTGCCCATCCATAGGCTTACCATATTATGTTGTCTTAGAAATTTTGCTGCTTTCCAAATAGACATTGTGAGAGACATTAAAGCACAGTGAGCCTTCTCATTGTCATCAGACGATACAGATAATAACTCAGTATGAACAAATGCATTATCAGACACAGGAAATGAGATGAGAGGACCAGGGGAATAGCTGGGAAAGTATGTGAAGACTTTTACTCACAAGATAATTACTTTTTCTGGAAACAGAACACTTCCTTCAGGAGCGAAAACTGTTATATGGTTAAGAAAATATTTTAGCAAAGACGTGCTATAGGTTTGCTAGATAGAAAGCTACCTGAAGAAAAAGATAAAACATATAAAAATAAAAAGATGTTAACAGGAAATAGGTGAAAACTAGGTTATATTTCAGAATAATATGCTTTTTTATTACCTAGTGTCCCTCCAATCCCTATTTATCTGCCCTCCAAACTGAAAAAAAAACAAAAAATGCAGAGATTTTGCTTAGTTATATTCCTTATTGATATATTCCTTTTTATATTCCTTTTTGATAGAAAAGTCATTAAACATTATATATAGTAGGTTCATAAAGGAAGACCCACAATTTGTCTCTCTAGATTCATCTCTCTAGGTGCCCTTAAGAGATAAAAAAGTAATTTTGTCTCATCTGAAATATAGTTGCATTCCAATACATCAAACAGGCAGCATAGTATAAATAAATATAAAAAAACCGAACAAGTAGAAAATGTCAAGTCTCTGATGTTATAAAAATAGTAATAATAAACAAGAATTGTTATTTCCCTTCTCTCCTTACTTAAACATTCATTTCTTTGACTCTTTCCAAGGTTTACTAAAAGAAATTATAGAGTAGTAATTGATTAATATCACAGCATAATCTCAGGATGTGAATGAAATATAAAGTACCATCAGGGAAAAATTTAAATCAGGAATAATGTAGGCAAACAGACTAAAAGACTAACTAGGGCTATACTTGGGCTGGTGATTTCTCTCTCTCTCTCTCTCTCTCTCTCTCTCTCTCTCTCTCTCGCTGGGGACTGATGTTTCTTTTTGATGTCACAGAAGGAAAAAGCAGATGCCAAGGATGCGTGTTATCTTAGGGTTTAGTGCAGAAACAACAATGACAATAACAAACACTTTAGAGACTTTAACCAGAAAGATATTTAATGCAGGGAATTAGGTACTCAAAGCAATGTAAGGTCCTTCTAGCTGAAGTCAGGGATAGTCATTAGGCAGTTGTCCATCTTCCATAAAACTGGAGACTAGAAAGGGGAATTTGAATTAGTCATTTAATACTCAGTTTACCAGAGCTTGTCCATTGGCCAGCAGAGTTGCAGGAAGAATAATTTATGCTTCTTTCTACCTTTCAAATCTCATACAAGGTAATATCTTCAAAAGAACCTGAATTACTTGCAAAGTGCCAGCTTCAAGAAATTCTGAGAAATATAAACTTTAGTCATCTATTTCTGATTTGAAAGAGGATATAAATGGATGTTGAGTTTCAATAGATAATATGTAGAATGCACATATTCTTCCAGCAGAAAAGTTTTTCCAGTCTGCTGTTAAGCATGGGCATATTAAAAATGAATATACAGAAACTTAGGGTTCAGTGAATTATATTAAAAACAAAAGTAATACATATTCAGAACTCATCACCTCTTAATTACTACACTCTATGTTCTTGAAGTTATTTGCGTCTATTACACCTGTTTGATGAAAATATTATATAGTTGCTACTGAAAAACTGAACAACTATTTCCAACTTCATTTTCATATAGGTTGAAATCAGGAGTATTTCTAACATGAAAACGGGCAAACACACAGTTCAGAGCCTTTAATCTTCCCTGGAGCACAAGTGGTTTAGTACATTTATTAGCACATCGCTGGCTAAATATATTAGAAGAACTGTATAATAAGGAGAAAAATAAGGTTGTTAAGTTTTCCGGTAGCAAGAAATAGGAGGGTCATTACAGGAGTATGTGGGTCATTTGGTTCATGACCAAGGAAAAAGCTGGGAAATAGAAGAGTCATGGATAATTAGAATTCAGCACAGTTAGGTATTCATTATATTGACTTGACTATGCCTTTTATTTAGAATCTTAGATTTTATAGCATTTAGTCTCAAGAGGATTTAAGCCATGTGGTCAATCTCTGGGATGTCCAAGGCCACACATGGTCCAGGCAGTCTTCTTCTTTTCTAGGATAGTTACGGGGGTCTTTCTGATGATTGAAAGGCTTTAAAATTATGATATCATTTGGGAAACATTTGTAGAAGTATGACAGTTTGGGAGGAAGATGGAGAGAAGTGTGGAGACATTTAAGGAGTTCCTCATAGCCCAAGCATGGCTGAAGATGAGCAATTGAAACATTACTTTGCAGGCAATGCAGTGATAAGTTAACAGTTATGACCATAATGTAAGAAATTATTACATAGGCAACTTGGCATTAAGCAGCAATGAATCAATGTTGGCGGTTACTGAGGAGACCTGGGGACAGAAATGAGGAACTTGAGGAACTCACTAGAGAATGTCATAGAAAGGAGACATATCTTACTTTTGCCTATATATAGTATTAGATCATATGATTTTTGTTATAACCTTTACATGAAATGTCATATATAGGAATCAATCCTCAAGTTATATCCTCAGTGACTAATTTTATTTTATTTTTTTAGGGGAAGGCCTATTAACCACTCCACTAAAAGGAACAAAACAAAACAAAAAAACTAAAACAGAAAAATTGTGTGAAGAATTTTATTTTTAAACTACCTAGACTCGCAGATTTTGTCTTTGGACCAGTGCTCCTCAACATAAAACAAATGTTTGCAGTGGACACCATTTGGGGAACACAGGAAAACTGAAGAGAATCCAATAATATTTTCAGGGTGCGCAGAGAAGCTTTCAGAAGAATTTGAGTATAAGAATAAGATATTAACATTAGTCTACTTTGGTGTAATACAAACAGATATGAAGTTTCGATAAACTCAGACAATTCTCAAGGGCCCTATTCTTATTGTTCTGCTAGACGATCAACAGAGTTAGTAGTATTCTTGAGGCTCTTATTTGTTTTTGAATTGCTCTAAAGAAAAAAATATTCCTATTTCCTATAGAGAGACATACAAAATTTTATCTTCCCATCTGTGCTGTTTTATGTCATCATTCGACCCAGTACAAAACAATTATTCAATTATTTGTAATTCTTCACATTATAAGTTGGCTAGAATATTAGTTTGTGTTAATGAGGATATGAAAACCTAGGAAATGCTGAAGGTTAACATTAGTATTTAAGAAACGTCTTTCAAGATTATCAGAGAGAAGCCTAGGGTGATTAGATGAAGGATTCTTAGGATAAGTATGGATTATGTAAATAGATTTATTGTGATTGAGAAAGTTTACCAAGACTACTTGATATATCTCTGTAATTAATGTAAAAACTTTGGTTGTAGAAAACAACCCTGAGCTTTTGGAGTCCAGTGAAATAGGATTACATCATATCCCAACATAATTGCTGTTTATCCCTTTATTTTATTTGACAAAACACCTGAGGTATAAAATAAGTCCAAATTGACATACTGTTGTACATGCTGTACTTATTTAAAATGATTAATTTATTTTCTTAGCTGTACTACTAAACATTTATTTTTTCACTTTCAGAGCATTCAAAACTGAGAATTTATTATTAAATTTTATACCTGGATATGTTTTATGAGAAACACTGAAGATTTAATGTGGTTCAATAGTCATGATCATGTTTAAACATTTACTGATAGAACCAATATTTAAAATCACTTTTAAGGTAGTATTTATATGGTCTCACTATGTCTCTAAGTTGCCCAGGGTGGGCTGAAACTTGGGATCTTCCTGCCTTAGCCTCCCAGTATGCTATAACTACACGAATGTACCACCATGCAAAGTTATTAAATTATACTGAAAGATTTTTTGAACCTAAGAGCTACAAGTATTAAAGTTTTTCTGAGAATAAATTATTTTAAAAGCTATCTATTTATGTTCTTGATATACCTGCAAGGCTCACCAGAGTTACTTGATAGTAGAAAATAGTAATTATCTGCAAACTATTCTATGTTCTATGAATATTCCCATGCTACTTGTAATAGGAGAATATATATAGAATATACCAATTCCTCCCTGTGAAACTCAGACACCATTTCACTTTAGCAACAGATCTTTTAGGAATTTATGCAAGAGACAAAAGTTAGTTTATTTCTACCTGTTTTATGCTCCATAGATATTTTTAATGGGTGAGATAAAATTCATTTTTGAGTGCTTATGGAGATAGAATTTATGTATTCTTTTTTTTGTTTTTGTTTTTTTTGGTACCGGGGATCAAACTCAGGTCCCTGCCCTTGCGCAGCAGGTGGCGAAACCACTGAGCTAAATCCCCAGCCCTATGTATTCTTTTTGAGACTTCTGTAACAAAAATGCACTGAAACATTACTAGAGAAGTATAAAATTATATTAACCATTTCAGTATCAGAGGGCAATTAATGGGAGATAGAGTACCTGAACTGGTGCTCAGAAGAATTGAGTTTCCAGCTTCTTATTGATGAGTTACAATATTTATCTAACATCTCTGTTCTTTCCTTTTCTCATATTTATCAACAGAGATATGGTCTTCAGAGGATTGTTATGAGAATGAAAAAAGTTGCTATACACAAAAAAGCTTGTGTAATCTCATTAGCTTGTCACTGCAGAAAGTCCTTTATTTCTTTAATATTATTACTAATAATATTATTAAAATTTACAAAAAATATAACAAGTTTATTTAGACATTTTAAAAGATTGCCAAGTAAACGACATGAATTTTTTATAGAAATAGGAAAAAGTTTATAGGGCCTGCTTGAAAAAATATTTTATTGATTTTCACACAGATGTAAATGTCAAGGCATATCTCCACAGAAACTGCAGGATATTTTGACTTTATTAATTCAGTCAAACCTTACTAATAAATGTCCAGAGAGACAAGTATGGTAATCTTTCTCCTTTATTTAGCTGTGGGGAAAGAAGTCAAGTACCTCATGAGTGTGTGTTCTGCAGTCATCACAACAGGAATATTGTGGACAGGCTGAATGGGTTTGGAATTTTATTGCCACTGTAGGGCTTACTCTGACTTGTAGTTCTGAAATCTTTAGCAGCTTATCTACAAGTTACTTTTGCCATGGAGAAATAGTTTTACATACAGAAAGACTAATACTCAAAAGTGATTTGGTACTTTACAGTAGGAAGTATTCCCAACTTGACTTCATAATAAAAATATTGCATTACCTTCCTTTACAGTTCCTAAGAGCTTTTGAAATCACTATCTGATTTTGGTACCTCTTGGCCACTGAACAAAATGACCTAGTTTATCTTACTCTATTTTATTTCCTCTACCAGATGGAAAATATTGAAAAGTGTGAAACAGATCAGGATAACATATCCTAGTATTCAAAAATAACATGTTGTTAACAATTCTTCATATTTCTTTCCCATCTTTTCTATGCATGTTTATGTTACTGGGATCATATTGTATAAGCATTTTAAATACTTAAGTTTTTTTCTGGTTATGATGGATCCCTTTCTGTAAAAATCTGGCAAACACATAGAAAATAGGCACATCTAAAGCAAAAACTGAAAACGAAAAAGTGAAAGTTACATACATATAATACATTGTAGTTAACTACTGTGAATATTTTGGTGTATTTCCCGTCACTACTTTTTTATTTTTAAAAAGAAATCGGGATCCCATCAAAGCAGAAGAGCTTGGGAGGACAAAAAGTGGCTTGGCTGGGATCAGGCAGCCTCTGCTCTCAGTCCAGTGGACTGGAAAAACAGATCAGCACTCTTCTTCCTGGACAGGGGTAGCGAGAGGGAATATTTCCGTTAAAGCTCTCGGGCTTATTTCCGTATTCTAAACTGACTCGTACATTTTTCTTTTCTTGCACCGATTCCCATCTTCAAAGCCCACCGACGCCTGCCTGCATTTGACGGTTTTCTGGGAGCCCAGCTCTCCGCGGCGGGTCACCTCTGCTTACCGGGACCCCCGCCCCTACTTCACCTTCTACCAGGATTGAGGAGGAGGCAGGAGGCCGCTACTTCGCTGCTTCAACCTGAATGGCAGTCAGAGCCTTCGCCCCGCGGCAGGGTCAGGAGCGCCCAAGGTCCCACTCGGAAGCTCCAGATCTCTCTGGGAAAGGCTGCGACCAGGGAAGGTCTTGGTGGCTGCTGAATCCTCTGTTCCAAGGGAGGCGGCCATTCCCAGAGAGGCCAGCCCTTCCACGCACTCGGGACAATATCGTCAGAGAGTACTTGAGTGTGGCTTTGATTCCCCCCATTCTGCGGTTCTGCGGCGGGGGAAGGGTGCCAGGGCCCAAGCTCGCTCTCCGCCTCTCGGGAGATCCCCGCAGGCATCTATTGAGGAACGCCGAGGCGCTGCCAACAGCTAAATCCTCGCCTTCTTGGTTTGCGAGTTGGTATAAGTGCGTCCCTTCTCGCTTGCCTTATTCTTGGCGAGGCGAGGACCGCACTATCTTGCATCCTGCCGGAGGGGGAGCACTCATGTGCAGCTTTCTCTGCTTGCTAGCGAGAAGCAGTGGCTCCCCGCCAAACTAAGGCTTATTCTAGTAGGACTAGAATTATAATGTCTCAGCAGTCCGCACAAAAGGTAGGAACGATCATCTGCAAGAGTTAGGCCACAGAGGCGTCCTGTCCCGCCCCGTCGGTTCGCCTGGACCACCCAGGGAAGCCAGAGCATCCAGCTTCCTCAGCCTCTGACAGCTCGGTGGGAGCACCTCAGGGTCTCGATTCCCAGCTCTCGGGGCGGGACGAGGCGGGGCGAGCGCGCGCGGGGCGTGGCAACGGCGAGCTAAGGCTCCTGGAGGGAACGCGCGAGCGGAGCCGAGAGGACCCGAGCCGAGCCGAGCCGCGAGGTCCCGGGGAAAGGCAGGCTGAGCCGGGCCGGCCGCCTGCGGCTCAGCGTCGTTCGTGTCGCGTCGCCGGGCTCCGCGTCTCCCCGCCTTTGCCCAGGCTGCCGCAAAACTTTTATTCTCTTGGGCTGTCCTGCGGCGTGTGAAGGAATCGGAGCGCTCGGCTGTCTCCGCGCTCCACAGCAGCAGCAACCGAGGGAACGTGCAACCCTCGCCCGCCGGGCTCTCGCTCTGCGCCTCCTCACCTGCCGATCGCTCCCCGGAGCCGCGGGAGGGCACCCTTAGAGGGGCCGCGCGGGCGGCGGCGCCCGGAACACGCCAGCCCACCGCCTTGGACAGCCCCGCGCAACTTTAACTTGATTCCTCTCCCCTACCCCGGACACCCGCGGCTGCTGCTGGGCCGCCGCCGCCCCCACTGTCGCTGCGGTCTCACAAAGGGCGCAGGGAGGGGAGCCGACGCGGGCGGCAGGCACGGGCCTCCGGGCCGCCGAGGCAGGGAGACAAAAGGGGACTGGTCGTGCTCGGCGTGCGGGTTCGGAGCAGCCTGCTCGTCCGCCTCCTGCCCGGCTCCGGTTCCGCGCGCCCGCTCCCCACCCTCGGCTGCTGATCCGCCTCCCTCCCGCCGGCCGTCCCGCAGTGCTCGGCACCCGGGGAGCCTACGGGGCGAGCGTCGCTGCTGGAGGTTGGGGTCTAGTGTTAATAAATGATAGAGGATACAATGACTTTGCTCTCTCTGCTGGGTCGCATCATGCGGTACTTCTTGCTGAGACCCGAGACGCTTTTCCTGCTGTGCGTCAGCTTGGCGCTGTGGAGTTACTTCTTCCACACGGACGAAGTGAAGACCATCGTCAAGTCCAGCCGGGACGCCGTGAAGATGGTGAAGGGCAAGGTGGCTGAGATCATGCAGAACGATCGACTTGGAGGGCTTGACGTGCTGGAGGCCGAGTTTTCCAAGACCTGGGAGTTCAAGAGCCATAACGTGGCTGTGTACTCCATCCAGGGCCGGAGAGACCACATGGAGGACCGCTTCGAAGTTCTTACTGATCTGGCCAACAAGACGCACCCGTCCATCTTCGGGATCTTCGATGGACACGGCGGCGAGGTAGGAGCCTAATGTGTGTGTGTGTGAACAACAGGACATCGCGTGGGCAGCAGGGTAGGACTTGGGTAATGGGGCGTGGTGTCTGGGCGAACGAGACTCAAATTACCGAACTACTTCTGGATGGAGGGCTCTCGGAGCAGAGGGTCCAGTTTAGAGTAGAGACATCCACCCCAAATTGTTTTAATATTAGGCTTCCAAGGCCCGAACCCAGCGTAAGTGCTTGTTTTTCAGGTAGAACCAATGGTATTTCCAGTGAACTTTGACTCTGGGCCTCAGTGACCCTTTCTAGGGTTTGACGCCACAGTAGCCGCAACGAAGGAAGACCATTTCTTTGATGAACTGTTAGGGAAAGAGATTAAAATCTGCAGGGTAGCTAGCGTGAGTCTCCTTGAGTTTGAAGGAAGCTGTGACTTTCGCCTTTGCTCTGGGGTAGCCCTGAGCTTCTTACCAACTCCATCAACTTTGCAAATGATAGCGAGCCCCCTGACAGGAGCACTGTGCGGGCCAACGGTGTTTAGCTGTATCTGGATCGTAGCGCGGGACCGAGACGTTCTTTGCAGAGATGCTGTATCTGCACTACAGCCGCTGCCCCAACCTTATACCTGCGCCCTGGCCAGCGTGGGTGCTCAAATATCTCCTTGCTTCTAGATTCCTTTTGGGTTCATTCCGGAGCAGAAGATGAGGCTAAAGGCCAGCCTAGATGTCTCTCGCACATATCTGCGGCACCCATGTTGCGAGCTAGGGCTCAGAGTTCCTGGGGTCCTGACTTCCCTACTTGGGCCTGGGCCCGGGCGTAGTGAGTGGTAAATGTGGTCGCATCGACGTGCTGCAGAGTATCAAGCCAGGCACCCTATTTCTTTCAGGTGGACAGTTGGTAACAAAGTTACATTGCATCATGCTCCCCTTTTTCTTTCTTTTCTTTCTTTTTAAAAAACCCTGTCCTCTGCTCTGTGGGTGGGCTGTAGGGAACTGTACGGAATGTCATTCTCTTTCAGGTGTTTGCTTGTTCTTTGGCCTTGGTTTTGGGTAAATATTGAGAAACTTTCAATTGGTTAGCTTATCTGCATTTTCCACCTAGCATCTGCAGAGCTCTCCACAGTACTGTGTCTACCCGCCTTATGAAACAACTTTGTCAAAAAGATAAACAATAACAAAAGTTACTTGATATCAAGAACTGAAATTGGTTTTTGCTGTTTTCCATCCACCCTAGCCTTTTTATACTTTCAGAATGAAAGTTTCTCACTAGTAATTTTGTAGCCTTTTGTGTGTTGTGGGGCTCCCCCTCCCCCACGGAGAAGATGAAAGTAAATCAAAGGAAGAGACACTGGTTAAAAATATACCTGAATGACAAGATTGCCAGTATAATGAGTGATGTTTTCTTGTGTCATAATTTCCATATTTTCATTTTATGTGCCTAGATTTAGTGAGAGTGTAGGAAGCGGAGAGTCTCTCATTTGTAAATCATTTAATAAGCTTGCATTTATTATATATTTTTATATTAAAATTGTTGGCTAATGATAATCTGATTCTGGTCTTAGAAAGCACAGTTTTACTTTTAATTTAAAGGTTTAGATGTAATTTTAAAGTCGTAAAACTTTGAGTTGTGGTTGTGTATGATACCTTGACATGTTTTTAGAAAGCTTGTGTGATTAGGGCCGGGGATTTAGCTCAGTGGTTCTGCCGCCTGCTGCGCAAGCGCAAGGACCCGAGTTCAATCCCTGGTACCGGAAAAAAAAAAAAGAAAAAGAAAGCTTGTGTGATTGAATAATTTAAAAATGTTTTTTTCTTTAAATTGATTTTTCTAAAACTTGAATGTTGGAGGCCCAGATGGGTTTCAGATTGAAATATTTACAGTAGTATCTAGTAAATATATCATCCAGAAAAAGGGTGTGATAAATGCTTTTGTTAAACTAAAAATATTTTACATGTACTTGGGTTTTCATAAATTTTTTAATATTAAATGAAAAGATGATCATTTTTAGCCAGACTGTGAAATGCTTTTCATTGTGCCTTATGTTAAAATGCTTGTTGTTAGCAAAATAATTGATAGTGTACTTGAAAACAGAATAATTGTTCTCTCTATAACCTCCTACCATGTACAGCCAGTTCATTCATTCTGGGTTTGTTTTAGGGCAAAATAAAGAAAGGAGTGTGATAATGAGCACTACTGAGTTATTTATTTCTCGCTTTTCTTTTATATATCCTTCAAAGAAAATTCCACTAATTCTTGTCTTTTGTGAGGCTTAGCTCTTTTAACATTGACCAGAGGAGGGTGCCACTGTTCGATTTTGCTATAGATGATAGTTATCTCATTTCAGGAAAGAGAAATCTTTTTCTGTACTCTCTCTATAAACTATCTAAATATATAAATGATATATGCATACACACCAGTGTACATATACAGACTGTCTCTAGAATGATACAGAAGATAAATAAGGTGTATAATTTTATTTTTAGTAATTCACACCAATAAGATAGGACATAAAATACCACGGCCCATTTTATAGTTATAGTGCTTTTCACACCCAGAAGGGACCTTGTGTATCCTTGTTGTATCAGATACTGATATTTGGAGAAGTTATGACCTTGCTAAGCCTGGCTAGTTTTAGACCTTTAGTTTGTTGATCCTTATATTAAACCATTGGATAAATTAGTTTGAATATTTGGCTAGTAGCTAGCACTCTGGGGATATAAGGGATCCTGAGAGATAACTCCTGTCATCAAAAAAATTTAATTTAGTGAGAGAGTTGATAGATCCATTTACCAAAAATTACAACCATGCTGTGTTTATGGTGTTATGAGAACACAGACGAGGGGCATTTAAATCACTTTGGGAGGTGGGAGGTCTACGGCAAAACAGCAAGAAGACATCATTTAGTGCAAGATTAAAAGCATAAGCTTTGACTTGAGTTTTGGCTTTAAATCTCTGCTCTGCTTTATGTTAGGTGTGACCTTGGGCAAATTGCTTAGGAAGCTTTATCTGGGAGTGTCTATCTAAAACATAAAGATAATAATGCATGTAAGGTACACTCTCATCAGTTGTATTATACCTTGTGTGGAGAAATACTTAATGGAGAGAAGGATATGGAAGAAGAAAGCTCAGTAACCCAGAAGTCTGTGTTTTGAGAGAGAAACTACTTGTGAGAACCACAACTTTGGTCGCTAGAAAGATATATCTTGGACAGGGATAATTCATTAGTTATTCCCAACTTTCTCTGTTTGTTCTAACTTTTGTTTACTAATTCTGAATTCTGTTTATATATTGAGGCATTGAGAAAGCAGTATCCTGGCATCAAGTGCAAATTTTATTATGAGTGGAAAGTGATTAATACATTGGTATTCTGATTTGTACTTCAGCCTTTTAATGAGTTGGATTATCATTGTTAGTTCTTTGGGGCTATTCAACTGAGGATTCTTGGACAAATATG